AGAGTACGTGAGATCGCGAATCGCGAAAATGAAAGTGAAACTAAAAAGCGATCGTGCATTCAAAAGCAGTTTCAATGCCAGGCATAATAGCGGCTCCCTGCCTGATGCCCACAATTTAAACAGTATAATTACCCAATGATATAACTGTGAGAGAAAATATTTAAATATATATTTTCCTCTCATCTCATATTAATTAACTTTAGGGGTTCCGTAGTACACGTAATTTTCTTTCCGAATACGGTATTGGGATGCGGCCGGATTGTGGGGGGTATGGGAGGATCGGCGATGGACGATGGCATCGTCTATCGGCCCAACCCGAGTTCGGAATCCTGTGCAATGATGTAGTTTCCTGACATCCATCGACTGAACAGTGTTTTCTCGACATGTTTCCGTGTTGTTGTTGCTCAGCAATGGCATGGACGCGATGTTGTCTGAGGGTTGGGGTGTGCCATATCATACCGTCCACGATAATACCGGTATACATTTTTACATGATAAAAAAGTGTCATATCGCGATATCAATGATATAGCAACGCGATGACGTATGGCGGATATACGTTCCCTAGCGCGCACAACAACACCACCACAAACCCAATAGGTGTGTCCGACGTGAAGCAAGCGTGATCGGTGTATGACATCAAAGTACACACTCTTACCTTCAAAAATAGGCGAGGCGCATATCTTTAGCGAGGCGGCGTGGAGAGCCGCTTTTGGGACGCTTCTGAAACGTGCCGCAGCTCTGCTGGTGTAAACACAAGCACTGTCTAGAGTGGCAGCGTCGGAGCCGTAACGCACCACAGACGCGTGCAGTGTAAATAAGGGGTAAGTCACTCTCGCGATATTTTGACGTCATACACCGATCGGTCTGCTTCAAGTCGAACACACAGCTGCTGCTGCCACCTTATGACAATAGATTTACACTTCAAATTAGGTTGTCTGTCGTCGATGACAGTAGCTCATTGGAAAAGGATGGAAAATGTCCTTCATTTTGTTTGCACTAATAAATGCTGCTGCCTGCCAGCTGCAATCACCAATAAAAATGTTGTTCCATGTTTGTTTTTTTCTATATCGTCATAAATATCGTTATCGCAAATATTCTTGAAATATCGTGATATAATTTTGAGGCTATATCGCCCACCCTTATCTGGGGGTTTGGCAAAAGGAGGGTGGGACGATGGGCAGTGCTCGGGGTGGTGACTGTATAGTTCTGACGTCACATTTTTACAGAAGTCACAACGGCTCGTGAAAAGGCACAGCTACTTTATGCAGGCTGTGTGCATTTGTCTGTGGATTGACTGTTTTGAAACTTATATGGTAGTTACATAGCCCTTAGACCTCAGTTATCACGAAAAAAGCCAGGAAATTTCAGTTTTGACAATATGGGACCTTTAAGGCCATCTTTCAGCTGAGTTATTACTGTAGTTGCCATATGCTTGTCTGTGAGCTCAGCTGAGTACTCTCTGCCCAAACTTCTTATTGGTTGCTCAGAGAGCACTGGAATTCTCTCCCCTGCCACTTGGAAAGAAATTATATCCACTCGCCTGCCCTTGCAGATTGAGAGACTACGAGACTTGGCCGTCTTGATTCTCATGATTCTCTTGGCCCAGCTCAGCAGCTCCTCCAGCCTCTTATATATATATATATATATATGCACATATTGCCTGAACCACATATTTATGTATTTGTGTGTGTGTGTTATATTTCGTTCAGTGAAGATAATCAAAGTATGTCCGCGTTGCCTTAACTAGCTACATTTATGGGGCTATTAATAGCTATTGTAGCCACAAATATTGCATACAATATGTTTAAATGACAACGAAAAGAGGCAGTGGTGTTTGATATCATATTTCGTCTTATTGTAAATATACAGTGAAGGAGTAGCCAAGGTGAGCTGAGTGACATTATCAAGTACGCTACTGTTCGCACTCCCGAGTTGAACTTGCCAAGTCCGAACTACCAAGGATGCAAGTCCGAACTTTGCATACTTGGTATTGAGAAACGGCCCTAGACAGGTGAAGCTGGGGGAGGTGGAGGGCTTCAGATACTACAAACACTGAACCAAACAATTAAAATGTTGAGCAGCAAGCTCATTGGCTACAGTTGCAAAAGAGACCAATAGAATGCCATGTAGTGAATGGTGTAAAAGCTAGCAGATTTATCTGTGCCATCTAAAGTTTTTTAAAGTGGCAGAACTAGAAATTTAAAACAGAGTACTGCTACAACAAGCTAACACTGCTACAAAAAGATAATCAGAAAGGAAAGATATCATGAAGTGGGTTTGGATTTCAGTGGCGAGTGAGGGTACTTCTCAATGCTCTAACTGATGCTTAATCGTGTTCTTGCTTCCCTATCATCCAGTCTGTGACCCAGAAATGAGTATGCACAATTTAAGAAATGAGAAGCACCATAAATCATGCATGACGTCACAATGGACTGAAAGTACCACTGGTCCACTGGACCATTGACCTATAGGTCAAAAGCTATAAAGCTCAAAATAATAGTAAATCTAAAATGGACAAAATTGTTATTAACTTGATAGTAACTCGGTTTGACCACATGATTCTTCCCTCTATGTATTCCTGGGGCTTGTGGAATACTATAACTGCCTATACCTTTTCATTAATTCATCTTCCAACAAATTTTGTCCAATTTTAAATCATCTTCAAACCAAGCATAACAAAATTCAACACATGGATTTTTGGTGTTTTCTGAAAACATATTAATTCCCTGCCAAATGCACCAAATAGAAAGCAAAACATTATCAAGGCAATGCTGTTGTATATTGACCCAAAACTTTTTGTTTAACTGCCACAATGTTTTGCCACAATGGTGTCATGACTGAGACTGTTGAGACCATATTAATGACACTTATATCCTTTATTTAGTGAAACTGAAGGTCTACCTAAGCACTGTGACTGTAGATCTGGGGTTGCGTTGGCCCTTTAGAGCTAGTAGTTTGTCTCCTTGAGTTGGAATCATGTCTTCTTCTCTGAACTCATTCTGTAGTGTAACAAATCACAGTGTCAATAACAGGCTTACTGTATTGTGCACTCAGATGTGATTGGTAGATTCAGTTCCTCAGATGCCTTACCTCATCCACACTTGGTGGCTTCAGAATGGTGCTGTCGATGGACATGTCGTCCACCTCGGAGATGAGATGGGCCATGTTTCTCTCCTGTTGTCGGCTTTGCCTCAGCTGCTGTTGCTTCTGCTTGGACTGATGGAGATCACCTTGCACCCACATACTGTGCTGCTTCCTTGAGAGAAAGAAAGTGCTTCTAAACAGGACCTCTAAACCATTTTTTCTGTCTGTAGACTTTTTGACTGACTGTTTGGACTTACTGTTCGAGAAAGTGCTGCTGTGGTCCAATGATGGAGCCCGGTCTGCAGATTCGTATCCAGGCAATGGCCTCAGGTGCTGTGAAGCGATAATGCTTCATCAGGTAGCAGCCTATCAGAGTGCCTGTCCTGCCAAGGCCAGCTGTGCATAAAAAGAAATAATATAATGATTTAAAATCAAAATAATTAACAATTTTATTTAAAAAAAATAATTTTAATGGGAATCATTTGAATGCTTCCCATCGAAGACTATGCACACAATCAAAATATTTTTACAAAGTATTTTGACATTAATTAATCTGTTTCAGCCAGATAAATAAGATCCAACATGGACGGGTTGCATGACTTACCATCATCCTCGAAATCTATGAACAAAACTCATAACTTACCAAGTAAAATAAATAAGCATACACTGATGTTGGGGGGGGCTAGTGAGCAGGCTATGGAGTAGGTGTTTCTTTGGTGAGCTCCGTCAAAATATATATGAAAAAACTTTAAAATTTGAATTTTTTTGGTGCAGTGTGATCAAAATACAGAGCGACATACATTGGGAATATTTTATTTTCACTTTTTCGTCGAGTTACACAAGCTTTCACGCTTAGATGGCTAGAATATTACATCAATATGCCTACCAAGGGAAGGACGCAGCTAACAGTTCTGGCGCCAATGATCCAAAAATGAAAAGTAAGCAAGCTGAACTGTAAGAAGAACACGGCGAACTTCTTGTTTCATTAAAAACAGACATCGCAACACTTTTGCAATCAGACCTTAAATCTACTCTTTCTAGTGAGTTTGAGGTCATTAAATCTCAAATAAAGGCCATTAAAACAATTTGTCGGCGGCATCGACCTGTTACTCGCTTATCTAGAGTCCATGAAAAAAAACAGTAACTGAAATGGAAGAAGGCATCAACGCATGCTCTGATGAGATAACAGGTTTACAAAAATCTGTGCACAAAATGGAATGAGAGATTGCTAACCTGCTAACCTACCTTCGCTTAACACTGTTCTAGTGGTTTTTGGATATTTTAATAAAAAAACTTACATATTGTGCCTTTAATATGGAGGGACGAATGAGGAGATGCAACATTCGTTTAATGAATGTGGCAGGGCTCAAGTACCCCTGTATCTGTGTCTAAACTGCTTAAGGAAGTATTAAGAATGGAAACTGAGATTCTAATTGACAGATCGCACTGTGGAACTCAGCCCAAACAACCTTGCAGCAAACCTCGAGTGACAGTAGCCAAATTGCACTATTATCAAAACTGCGTTGAAGTTTTCCGCCGGGCTAGGGAAATCGGTCCTCTGCAGTACAACGGAACCAGGATATCCATTTTCAAAGATCCTACCTTGGCAATGGCCTGCATGAAGTCAAAACTCACCGCTAATCAGTATGTTTAACAAAAGTAAAAGGGCCTGATCACGATCTCTTGATAAGTTGTAAATGAAATTGTATATGTATGGGTAAATTTACCAAAGCCATCGGACTATCAAAAGTAACTTGCCCAGACTGCGTATATGCCTCCTGTAATAACAAGCTAAGACGAAGCTGATGCCTTTTTTTCAGTTTTTTTGTTTGTTTTTAAATTAGTACAATTATTAACATTGGTTAATTTGATCTCTTTGTGTAGGCTATTATTCTGTAGTAATATTATGTCATTATTAATATTTTCTAATTGGTGTTTAGAATGCTTCATTTTGTACTGCACCTTAAAACTACTTTCTTTTTTATGGCGGAGCAATCTGTATAACTGGAACTCTCCATCATAAGCACTTTGATGTGTGGATGTTGTTGCTGGGGGTTTGGGGGTCACCTTTGTTCAGTAGGTGAAGGGGGAAGGAAATACACTGCACTAACATTTCTTTGTAATGTTTATTTTTGTCCATGTCAGAGATTTATAGAGAGCTATGAGATATTTATATCAAGACCAAAAAATATCATATGTTACTGTTATTTTCTATTCTGTAATTGTGGTAATGGCTAATGCGCAGACTTTTAAAGACCCAGCGAGCTGTCAAGTAACATTTGTAAGCTGGAACATGAGATCTTTATATCACCCAGTTAAACACAAAAAAGTGTTGTCATGTGGAAGGAGCACATGTTATGGGGTAATTCATGGGGTAGGTGGGGATGCCATGAAAAGAAATGGTGTAAGGGCCAAACCCTTAATTTTTGTAAAGGTGACATATTTAGTTGACATGCATAAGTACATGTAGACTTAACAAGGACACTGTAAAATATGTATTTTATTTTAATTGGAAGTAGATGCCATCTTCAGGATTTTAAGGTAACAATGTAATTTTGTGGAAAAACTAATTATTCAAAGCTCTGGTTTTATATCAAAACTGGAATGAGTCTTTAATACACATATTTTAGAAGTTGTAATTCTGTATGAGTAAGTGTAAGTATATATATATATATATATATATATATA